GCTCGCAGTGGATATCGCAGCAAAGTTGCAGAGCGTAGTTCTTCCGTCTGTCCTGTTCGCCGGACAAGTTGCCTCTGGTCAGGTTGGTAGGAAAACAAAGATGGCCGCCTTTATACACGACGGATACAGTGTTGTGCGGCTTCTGATTGGTCAACCTTCTATTGGTAGACTATAAAGGGAAATAAGTCATTTTGATTCGCTCACTAGTTATATATATACATATATACCCAAAAAACCGTAACAGGCACAACAAGAATTAGTTGAGATACAGAAACCCAAATCTTAAAATGATCAGCAAAAAGACACAAAGAGGGAGTCAACGTTATGAATAAAAATGGAAAAAATGGTTTTATTTTAAAAAAAGAAATTAAAATCCCAGTATGATAAATTATTTTATGAGTTTAAAAAAAAAAAAATGTTTCGTTCGACATCCAGTAAATAAAAAACTGGTTGTAATCCGCACAAAAGTTATGTGTAAAACCAGAAACTTGCAGTTACTCGACAGAACTATTCAACATTCTACTTGACTAATTATGAAAATTGATTCCGCACTTGCTAAATATAAAAGAAAAGAATTAGTGAAATGTTTAAACACCCAACGGTATTACTGAGGGTTAGTTAAACTGATCCATCATCAGACCACTTACACTTGTACTGCCTAATCGCATAGATCTTTAATAAATAGAAAAAATAAAGACATTTCTTGAAGACTTATAACAGCAGTCACAAAATTAAGTTACGCAAGAGAAAACTCTTTAAAATATCCGTCAATACCAGAAAAATCAATAGCATTTATTTAGGTATCTCAAATACAATAACAGGAAAAAACTAAGGTTTAAAATGAATTTTTAAAAGTGAAAAATCTTTCTTAAAGCTTTTATTTTTATTTTAATTCACGATAATAGATTCAATTTAATATTTCTAATAAGCAAAACGCTTTTCTGTATTTCAAAACTAATTTTAAACTAATTTAAACTGACTGGGAAGGTTTTTTTCTAAAATGGCTGATTAGCGCCCTTTTAGTTGTCTTTCATTGCAATGTAATTCTCTTAAAAAATCTTCCAAAAAATAAAATATACTTTTCTGAAACTTCACTTGAGGAATATTAACTGATGTAAAGTATAATTAATCTGACTGGAAAGAAATATTACTTATTTTAATTTGAAAATATCGCAGAAATGCATTTTCTAACCGGATAGTAGCTGTGTTTTTAATCAGACAGTAACTTTTTTCACGTGTTGACAGCCTATTGAGTGGACTAATATTGTTCTACGGAAACCTTATCAGCAAAATATAACAAGAAAATCGCTTGAGCGCCTTTTTTTTAATATTATTTTTAGGTACTCAGCAATCTTAAAAAATTAGGAAAATATTCTCCGTAATCTAATGTCTTTATTACATTTTAGAAATGTTGACTTTAAATTTACTATAGTAATTTTCTGATAATGTCATGCTTGCATTTGCATCATTCGGCACGTTTATACACATAAAACAAAATTTAAAATTCTTTTAAAAATACCTTTGTTTCCTATTTTGTATTAAACTTTTTCATTTATGATTAGTAAATGGCCACATGGCTAGACATACCATTTCGCAGTCATGGTCATAAAGTCGAGGGCACCTCGAGGTGGTGTGATGGTTAGCAAGCTTGTCTCGCTAGCACGATTACTGGGTAGCGAGTTCGATCCTCACTGGGTGTTCCTACTTTCGGCCTTGTGCCACATCTAAGCTACTCTTGGAAAATCAACATGGTCATAAAATCGAACAGTCATAAGATGCATCGACGACGACATGTATAAGGAACCTATCAACCTCATCGATCACATTCGAAATCACACAAACCCGAACAGATTATAAACACAGTAGTATTTTCAGCGCTTAGAATATGTGCATTTTTTTACAATTAGAGTCACCCTTTACAAGACCTGAGGGCCACTCAAGGTAGATGGTTACGTTAAGAGACCATTTGTATGCATAGGTGAGGAAGATAACGATTGACCCTAGCCTTGAATAGGTTACGATTGTAGTGATCGGGAAAACATTCTATTGGAACTTGATTCCCCAGGATAGTGGTTCACAACAAAGGGCTTGCTAAATCACGTCCGTGGAAGAGGGTTTGAAGCGTGGAGAATATTTCGTTAGCTACAAGGTGTCGGTGACGCTATTGAACTTTAAGCTGGGGAGAGGTCTTGGCAGCTCCTTTCGAAATGAAAAGCTGGGGAGAGGTCTTGGCAGCTCCTTTCGAAATGAAAAGCTGGAGAGATGTCTTGGCGGTTTCTTTCGAAATGAAAAGCTGGAGATCCTGCTCAGGTATGACAACAGTAATCCAATTTGGGGGCCTGATCTGGCTCTTGCAAAGATAGAAGATAGCAGGAGGAGTCAATTACTTACTGGAGCGACCATTTTACCTGCATTGTTAGCAACGGGTCGTATATACGAGTTTCACTTGAGGTCGTGTGTGAGGCGCAACAGTCTTTTATGTCACAGTGCTTCCCCGAAAAGAACTCCGTTCATCTTCATTGGTGGATCAGATCGTCGATGGTCTACATAGATTTTGAATTCAGTGTTGTCCTACTCCTAAGGTATCTGCCAACCACGACAAGAGATGGAAGATTACCCGCTGTTGAAAGAGGGTACATATTGTTACCTTTCCCAAGTGTATTTGTACGAAAGTTAATGCATGTAATTAAAATATTGTTAATTTCTTGATCCAATCGTTAACTATTACATTACCTACACTCTTCTTATAAACTTTAACCAACACAATCTAAATGGTGAATTAATTCTAAATGGTTTCAGAAGTGGAACGATGTACTTTTACCAATAATATTAATATATTCGTTACATTCGTCCATTGTTTGAATATTGCTGGTACATTAGGTGTGGTACTTCTGCTATATATTTAGATATTCTTGATAAAATTCAAAGAAACATCTGCAATGTTATTGTCCCTGACTAGGCATCTCGATTTCCGCTTTTTCTATAAACATGATTGAAGAAGACATTTTGAATTGGTGACATTTTGAATTGGAGTGCAGTAATGGATTGGCGGTAACGTTTCATCATTTTAAAGTTGAAATTGTTAGAAGTAACCGCAAGTTCTATGCTAACAGTTTCTTCTTTAACATTTATTACTTGTGGAAAATCTCTTCTGGCTTCTTTCTTAAAAAATAAATGCAATGCCAATCGTTAGCTTCTTTCTTCTTAATTGATGTTCTTTAATTGTTCTCTATCCTCAATAAGAGTTTTTACTACTAATCTTTCACACTCAGTAACCCCTTGCGTCTTAGTGGATTTATTGCCTTGCATAAAAAATCAAAAACAAAAGAAAAACCAAACAAAAAAACTATATAGCTAATGAAAAAAAAATGGAAACAATCTATGGCTACCAAGAGCTATGCACAGAAATGGCCGTTCATTCCTTGAGCGGTGACTTCAAACTGAAATTCTATTTAAACAATCAATGCTGGAAATGATTAATTAATTATAGAGCTCAATGGTTTTCGTGAATTTCCATTTCAGAGATAAAATAAATTATCGTTTTAACATCTCAAGGACTGTTTATGAATAAAGATTATTCAAGAAACCTGTCGAGTCTAATGAAAAAAAAATCTGGAAATGATTTCGGTTTTGATCTTTCATATGTGCAATTAGATTTTTAATTTCTCTTTATTTACGAACTGATTCTTTCTTTTAGGAAGAAAACACGAAAGACAACAAAAGGAAAACAGAACGGTGAACAACAACGGCAACAGACTATCTCAGTTCCTTCATATCTATCTATCTATCTATCTATCTATCTATCTATCTATCTATCTATCTATCTATCTATCTCAGTCTTTTCTTGTCTCTATCTCAGTCTGTTAATATCTATCTATCTATCTCAGTTTCTATCTATCTATCTCAGTTTGTTTCTATCTATCTATCTATCTATCTATCTATCTATCTCAGTTTGTTTCTATCTATCTATCTATCTATCTATCTATCTATCTATCTATCTATCTATCTATCTAAGTTTGTTTCTATCTATCTATCTATCTATCTATCTATCTATCTATCTATCTATCTATCTCAGTTTGTTTCTATCTATCTATCTATCTATCTATCAATCTATCTATCTATCTATCTCAGTTTTATCTATCTATCTATCTATCTATCTATCTATCTATCTATCTATCTATCTATCTATCTATCTCAGTCTGTTTCTATCTATCCTTCTAAAGTTTTCTCATTCTCTTTCACTCCGATTAGCCCAATTTGTATCTTAGTGATATCATCGTTTGCTTGGGGTTAATTGATTAAAAGAAAGAAGTCCCGTAGGCCAGGTGACGTTTTCCAGCGCGTCTCTTGTTCAGGGCGCTATTCTCTGGTCAAATGAGAAATTCCGTCCATTGAAGGCACTCTTTGAAAAAAATCTTTATCTTTATTCAAACGGTGATGGCGAAAGGGCAGAAAACTACGGAGACTCCGCTTGCTGCTAGATAATCACCTGCTGTTATTCTGCAAAGGTGTGTTTTGGTTGTAGATATGTTCGCTATCCTACGCTTTACACTTCGCCTCTGTCTTTTGAAAAGGAGCAGTTTCCTGTTTAAGTTTAGGCTTCCGGTTCCTCATAAATTCTACTTTTACGCGATAATGCTAACGTCTCCCTTATAACTGTAGAATTTTATTTACTATTTATTTATTCCTTTTTCCTCAAGGGGAGCAGAGAGGTTTTGAAAGGGGTAGAGGATTATCCCTTCATTCCTTTTTAGGAATAGTTTTCCGGTTCCTTCTTAAGTCTTCTCATTCTCTTTCAATCCCAGTAGCCCATTGCATCTTAGTGACATTATCGCCTTGCTTGAGAACCGATGAGAATCGGATTTGAAGTATTTGATCTTAGTCGACACCCATTTCATCAAAACTAACCCGTTCAGATCGAGAAAATTTATTTTAAAGAAAAACTGGTTTCAATCAATAATAGGCTATAATTCACGCGATAAATTTAGGGAAAAAAAAAGTCATTGAAAGGAGATGAAAAGGAAAAAGAAATGGTAGAAAAAGAGGAAAGGAGAAAAAGCTGAGAAAGAAGAAGAAGAAGAAGAAGAAGAAGAAGAAGAAGAAGAAGAAGAAGAAGAAGAAATTACAGTAGAAGAAGAGGAGGGGAAGTGGAGTTGATGAAAAAGAAAGTAAAAATCAAAAAGATAAACTTATAAAAATAAGTTCAGAGTCACGAACGAATGTTAAGAAATTATTGATCCATGGATTTTGTTGTTGGGATCATGTGCTGTCAAGGAATAAATGAATGTTAAAATCGATGATGAGTAGCGATATGACATGAGGGATTCGGTTACAGAGGTCTGCCATTGGACTATGACCTTAAGTGACCCGGAAGAGTAGTTAGAGATATGAGAGCCCCTGTCTCAGAGAAAACCCAAAATAGCTTGCATATTCACTCATTCACTAACCTCTCTCTCTCTCTCTCTCACACACACACACACACACACACACACACACACACACACACACACATATATATATATATATATATATATATATATATATATATACAGTAGCGTTCAAAACTAAGGGACAAAATTTTAAAACCTAATATTTGTTAGAAATAACAAAAGCTGAAATTTTGACAACTGGTAGTCGTTATCATCCATAATAACATACTAAAATTTGAATCATTTTCAAAGGATAGAAAAATAATTATAACAATTATTTATTTATTTTCAAAATAGGATCGTCCAAAAGTTTGCAAATGATTCAAATTTTAGTATGTTATTATGGATGATAACGACGACTAGTTGTCAAAATTTCAGCTTTTCACAGTTGTTATTTCTAACAAATATTAGGTTTTAAAATTTTGTCCCTTAGTTTTGGACGCTACTATATATATATATAATGATTTACTAAGCGAAGCTTAGATGTGGCCCAAGGTAGAAAGTATGGAGCACCTTGTAAGAAGCGATCACACTAATCATTCGTAATTGATATATCAGGACAAGTCTGCAAGCACACACAGGCACATACACACACATAATATATATATATATATATATATATATATATATATATAAAAACGCACATATATATATATATATATATATATATATATATATATATATATATATATATATATATATATATATATACAATATGATTAAATATAGGAAATAGAAAAACCTTTATAATTTTGCCATGTTTCGCTAAATTCATCAGATTCTTTTTATGGATGAGGGAACCTTTTTAAGCTGAAGTAAATATAGCAAAACGTGCCAGAGTTATAAAACATCCTCTAGTTGTTCTTTATCTAATCATTCTGTCGGATTTAATCCAGGTTTTCAATTTACACACATTCACACACACACACACACACACACACACACACACACACACACACACACACACACACACACACACACACACACACACGCGCGCGCGCGCGCGCACGCACACACACACATTTATATATCTGTATGTATATATATATATATATATATAATTTTACAACTATAAACATTATTTTAGTTAGGTACAACTGTTTCAGTTGATTTTCCTGTTTCATTTATTTCCGTAAGCAGTGAAATTTATATCAACTGGCCTAAAACGAGAATCCACACTGAAGAAGACTGTGCTGCCCGACGCTAATCGAAACTGTATTCCATTTTCCCATCAGATAAGACCGGGAAACTGGAAAATGACTACTATTAACTCAAAAAGAGGGTTATCAACTCAAAAAGAAGGCTATCAACTCAAGATAAGTATAATATTTATGCATTACACCCTAATCTTTATTCGGTAAAAATTTCATTGCTAATCATGCATTACTTTTTAAGTAATACACATATTTATATCTTTGTTGTTTCCGTTCCTTATATTATGGCCGCTACTGTGTATATATATATATATATATATATATATATATATATATAAAGAAATGGACAAGGTCCGACAATTTATTTATTAAAGTCATTTTTATGTTTAACGTTCTTTTTTATAGATACAAGTATTTAAGTAAATGCTCTGTTTATAATAAACAGTATTAAATAACATTTACCGGCCTGAATGTCCGAGAAATTTTCATAGAAAATATTCGTTCTTTGACAGGATTCGAACCTGCATCCTATACGGAACCGTCATTTACGCTGACGTGCCTTATCGATCGGCCACAAAGAAGCGTTCGGTAGACATAAGCATTAAATTCGACCTTGTCTAAAATCACGTTTCCATGGTTACAGAATATTCTACTTAAATTGAACAAGGGGTGTCAAGATTTTCCTTATGTCAGTATCATTGTATCAGTTATTAGCTACAATTTGGTAAGGGGTAGGGATGTATTTTACAATGAAACCTGACATCAGTTGAATGGATGTCGTCTGGATTTAAAAAAAAAAAAAAAAATTATTGTTAACGGTAAAAAAATTTCAACGTGATTTTTTTTCTTTTATAAATTTAAAGATTTTCGGGGGTTTTTTGATCATAATACTTTTTATTTAACTACGATTTGAAATATTATCCTTTTTAATTTTTATTATACTATATTCTTTTTAAGAACAGTTTAGAATCCATTATATTATGTAGGATTATTTTAACATCAAGTTTAAGTATGTATATGAGGTTACATTTTTTTTTTTTTTTTTTTAATATTAATGCTCTGTAAATTTACATTGAGCACTATTTTGTAAAAATAAAAATATCTATAAGAACACCGGATTTTATATCTTACTGTTCTTTCTTTATATATATATATATATATATATATATATATATATATATTGTCATCCACAGACAGACTGTTTCGCTGTATCACAGCTCATCAGTGTGGCTAGACATCCGGTTGCCTCTAGCTAGGATCGAAACCCGATTGAATTGGCGTCAGTAGGAGATTCTACCACTAAGCCGTTGTGATGAAGGTGAATTTTAAGTGTATTTATTTTTAGATAAACACCCAGTGACTTACCGAAGAGTCTTGCATTATTAGCAGTAATAGTCACTGTTTACAAACTCACACTTCCTCCCCAGAGAGCTCAACCGAAATAAATTTTGCAGGAGCATATATATTGTCATCCACAGACAAACTGTTTCGCTGTATCACAGCATATATATATATATATATATATATATATATATATATATATATATATATATATATATATATATATATATATATATATATTTATTAAAGACATTTTTATTTATGTTTTAACGTTGTTATTTTATAGATACAAGTATTTAAGCAAATGCTCTGTTTAAGATAAACAGTATTAAATAACATTTACCGGCCTGAATGTCCGGGAAATTTTCATAGAAAATATTCGTTCATAGACAGGATTCGAACCTGCATCTATGAAAATTTCTCGGACATTCAGGCCGGTAAATGTTATTTAATACTGTTTATCTTAAACAGAGCATTTGCTTAAATACTTGTATCTATAAAATAACAACGTTAAATATAAATAAAAATGTCTTTAATAAATAAATTGTCGGACCTTGTCCATTTCTTAACATATGACGTCATTTGTTTACATTCGATACGCCAGAGCAGTTATGAATGTACGAGATTCATGGAAGATTGTAGTTTATAACAGTAAATTCGACCTTGTCTACCGTAAGGTTCATGGTGGCCGACTGGTTAAGGCATGTCAGCGTATATGACAGTTCCGTATAGGATGCAGGTTCGAATCCTGTCTATGAACGAATATTTTCTATGAAAATTTCTCGGACATTCAGGCCGGTAAATGTTATTTAATACTGTTTATCTTAAACAGAGCATTTGCTTAAATACTTGTATCTATAAAATAACAACGTTAAACATAAATAAAAATGTCTTTAATAAATAAATTGTCGGACCTTGTCCATTTCTTAACATATATATATATATATATATGTGTGTGTGTGTGTGTGTGTGTGAGAGAGAGAGGTAAAGTAAAGAGAGAGAGAGGTAAAGGGGGAGAGAGAGAGAGTGAGAGAGAGAGAGGCAGAAACAGACACCGAAAGAGGATAAATTAAACGGTTATCAGGCGTGAAATATTAAATTTCTGACGGAACATTTTTAGCTCTTCTATTCTATGTGCCATGTCCTTTCAGGACGTAGACGATCATGGCGCTCCACTTCCTCCTATCCCTTGCAGCTCTCAACAAGTTCCTTCCCTCTGCTTCCTCCCCCAGACCACGTTCTGTCGTCCACTTGCTTTAGCCAGCCAGGTATGTAACGCGTTGTTTCCCTTGTCTCTCTTTCCCTCTATTCGACCCGTGAGTATCAGATTCTCCAGGCCCTCTTTCCTCATTATGTGTCTCAGAAACTTCAGCTATCGCTTCCTGATGATAAGTATAAGCCCCCTCTTTGTAACCTCTCTAAGACCTCACCGTTGCTCCCACGCTCGGCCCATGATATCGTAAGCATCCTTCTGTAGACCTCGAGTCTCTTCTTCATTTTTGAGGAAACTGTCCAACATTCGCTGGCGTAAAGAAGGACAGATGTCACGTAACATCTCAGTATTCAAAGAAATTGTCCTGGCTCGCAATACTCTGCCCAGCTTTTGAAATGCGTCATTGGCCATCCCAATATGTTCAGTTCACGATATCCTCAGCATCCTTCTGTAGAACCACATCTCCGTCGCCTCGAGTCTCTTCTTCATCTTTGAGGAAATTGTCCAACATTCACTGCCGTAAAGGACAGATGTCACGTAACAGTTCAGTATTCTTTTCTTTGTTACCAAAGAAATTGTCCTGCCTCGCAATACTCTGCCCAGCTTTTGAAAATGTGTCTTTAGCTATCCCAATACATCTACGGATCTCAGTGTTGCATTTACTGTCCTCTGTCAAGAGGCTTCCCAGAGATTTAAATTTCCGCGTCTGCTTGATTCTAGTGTTTCCGACCTGCACCGTGTAATTGGCCCATATTTTTTTTACAGCTCCAACGGTGACTGCAAATGTTTGCTTACAAATTCTACAAGAGTTTGCCATCGATAGCATACCCCAACAAATCAGTGGTGTATTCCCAACAGGATGGTACACCGCCTCATTTTGTCCGTACTGTTCGCGCTTGTCTCGATTAAAGTTTCCCAAATCGTAGAATAGTTCACGATGGGCCGTTGACATGGCTATCACACTTCTCTGATCTGACACCCTGTGATTTCTAGTTATGGGGTATGATAAAGGATCGCGTGTATAGTAAAAAAAGTTAGAGACATCGAAGAAATCAATAACAGAACAAATGGTGTAATATCGAACATTCCCCGTGAAATATGTATCAAGGCACTAAATCGTAATGTTGATCGCTGGGTTTTTGTGCATCAATCGTGCTGTTGGACAGGTGGAGACTGTTCAGTAGACTCTGAATAAATGATTCCTCTCATACTAGTGTTAACATAATTTTGACTCACCCTGTATATATAAAGAAAAATTATATCAAGATTATAATTTATTATATAGATTAATTTAATATATTAATAATAAATAATAATATTAATTTCAATTTTTAATAAAAGAAAAAAATATTAATATAAATTAATTAATATAAAATATTAAAAAATAAAATAATTATAAAATGAATTAAATAAATAAATTATATAAGGATTAAAAATAGGATTAACGGTATTAAACTTTTCTGCACCATAAATCACAGATATCTCAATAAATAAATCTGCTTTTTTTAAGTTTATTAATTACTCACACAATTTAAATGCTTTGTTATGAGTTATTTTACTAGTATACATAAAAGTTCCATGGAATTTAGTTGTTAAATACAAGTTTATTTTCATTAAATTAGTTTTAATTCAAAGTAAATCATATACATTTAATATCTCTATAATACAATTCCTAAACTTATGTATTAGTAAAACATAAAATAAATTCTTTTTCATCGAATGGTTATGGTGGTCCACCAAAAAAACAAAAAATGTAAAAGTGGTCCATGGATAAAAAAAAGTTAAGGACCACTGCTCAAGATCCACCCACCGCTGCTACGACCCAACGATATTGTAAGCACCATTATGTCTCGTCAGAATATAGTCTTTCATGACTCTCCACAAAATCCTTGTCTCTTGCATAAATTTTCATGACTTTTGTGAAAGATTACTATTGACTTTTATAACGTTTAGGATTCAGATTTTTTTCTTTATTAGAATGGCTGCCAGCCAAGGCTTGACAGACCATGCAACATTGCTGTTTGGGAAGAAAGGCGAAAAAAAATGAATATATGGCTTTTCGAACAGTTTTAGTATGAAGGGAAATCAATGATTCGTTCTGATTTTCAATCAGCGAGTTCGAATCTCGCACAGGTAGCCATTATATTATCCGGCCATCCTTGTTTATTTACTTTAAAAAAAAATGTACACCCTGCTAATGAGTATATCTTAAATCTTAGAGATTTTAGCTTTTTAAAGCGATTCGTTTTTCTAAAAAAAAATAAATTTCGTACGACATCTGCTTTGTCGAAGGGAGGTTTCATGAAGAGAGAATAAGAACCAATCCTGCCAAGCAATCATATTCTTCGAATTTCTTTCATTCTGGTTGGTTAGGCAGACTGGTTCGACAGTTCCACGCCTAAATGTCATGTGAAAAGGATTATAATAGAGAACATTTTCTTTGTGAGGATAGGCTTGTCAGAGATGGTTAGGAAATGTAATTTATGGAAGGGATACAGAGACATTCTCGCTTTGGATAAAAGAAAACGAAAGAGCTAGTTAAAAACAAAAACAAAAAAAACTGAGGAAAAAAGGAATAAAACACGAAGAAAAAAATGCAGTTAATAAAAAAATCTAAAAAGCCAAAAGATGGTTCCAAATATTTTGCAACACAGCAGTAGTAAAAGGTAACCGAAGTATATGTATATATTAATAAGATCAGATAGGTCACATAATTGATAGATAGATAGATAGATACATAGATAGATAGATAGATAGAAACAGAGATAGATAGAAACGGACTGAGATAGATAGATAGATAGATAGATAGATAGATAGATAGATAGATAGATAGATAGATAGAAACAGACTGAGATAGAATAAACACTCTGGAATAGTTACATACATAGATACTTAGTTATATACGAGGGTAATTCAAAAAGTTCTAAGCCGCAGCAAGAAAGGAGACTACCAGGGGAGAAGTCTGCGACAGATAGATAGATAGATAGATAGATAGATAGATAGATAGATAGATAGATAGATAGATGTGATAGGTAGCTAGAAAAAAAGATAGATAGACAGACAGATAGATATATAGAGAGAGACTGACATAGCTAGATAAATAGATAGATAGATATCTAGCTAGATCGAAACAGATTGATATATATATATATATATATATATATATATATATATATATATATATATCGATAGATAGATAAAAATTTGATGTGATAGATAGATAGAAAAAATATATATAGACAGATAGATATATAGACAGAGACTGACATATATCGATAGATAGATAGATAAATAGAAATTTGATGTGATAGGTAGATAGAAAAAAAATAGATAGACAGGCAGATCGATAGATAGATAGAAATTTGATGTGATAGGTAGATAGAAAAAAGATAGATAGACAGATAGATATATAGACAGAGACTGGCATAATAGATAAATAGGTATCTAGCTAGCTAGATCGAAACAGACTTATATATATATATATATATATATATATATATATAGATAGATAGATAGATAGATAGATAGATAGATAGATAGATAGATATTTATGTAGTTATCTACGAGGGTCGTTCAAAAAGGCTGTAAGTCGCACTCAGAAAGAAGAAGAGCCATATCGAAACACCACCTCTACCAGGTGAGAAGTCTTCGACAATCTAAAAATGAACAAAATCGTGACACGAGCATTCATAAATATCTGCAAAAGAAAGGTTCGGATTCCAAGGAAATCCATGAGGACGTGGTAGAGATATTTGCTCAGGTCCTCCCATCCTATGCAACTGGGAAGACGGTCGCTGTAGAATTCAAGCCGGGTAGGGAAAGCACAGGAGATGGAACCTCGGTGAAGTCGTCCAATAACGTCAACCACATATGAACAAGTTGATAGTGTTCACCGTTTGGTTTTGGATGACAGACATCTTACAGTCCAGCAGATAGCTAAGTCCATAGGCATTTGTCCTTGTTCTGTCCAAGTTTGTTTTTTTAACTAAGATCTTAGGGACGTTCAAGCTGTCAAACAAGATGAGTCCCAAGAATGATGATACCAGAGCAGAAGCTGAAAAACATTGACAGACAATTTCCACCGCAAGATTCAAATCTGTGGAAACACGCTGGTTCTTCACTCGGAAAACCTTTAAGCAGGCAGCATCTGTTGACAAGGTGATGGCTTTTTTTTAGATTAATCCTGATACACGTGGCAGCTTTTTTGTGTTTTTAATTCAGAATGTTATTTTTATTATTTCGATCATTTTTAATGGAGATAACGCTCTGCTATGGACCTGTAAGTGTTTCTTAAGGCCAGTACACTCACGTCATGTTTGAGTCACACAACAGACTTACAAACTTACGAAAGGGTGACTTTTCTTCAAATACTGCAGGCGTGTTTGTGTACTAATAGCTCTAATTTAGTTCCCAAATAAACCTTCTCCAGTCAGCTGCAGTTTCATAGTCTTCACCATTAACGACAAGAGTCTTGAGTCTTGAGGTTACATTTAGCGACGTCCTTGAAAACATTTTTTGGTTTATGACCGGTTCGATTACCTTGTACCAGCTCACGATAAAAATGTGTTTTGGTTCGATCTGTCATTCTCCACACGTGTCAGATGACCTGTCCAGCGAATTTGAAGTTTACTGAGAAGTACTTTCTTTATGCAGGCTATGTTTACAAGCGGAAGAACTTTTGTGACCGGTGTAAAAGACTGCCAATTGATGTCCAAGATTCGTTTTACACACTGCTGGTGAAATCGCTCTAAGACATCAATGTGCCTTATATATATATATATATATATATATATATATATATATATATATATATAATAAAAGGATTTAAACACTAATATTCCATGGTCATAATTTATTCCATTGGAATCGTAAATACGATCCAATTCATCAGACCTACAAATTCAAAAAGAAAACAGAAAAAACACTCAAGAAATAAAAATAGAATTTAGAGAGAGTGTAAGTATGCGAGTGTGGGACGAATGTTAGAGCTAAAGAGCGGGGTAACAGACGAGAGAAGGTGGGAGATTAAAACTTAGCAGAGAGATGTTTTATAGAGGTGAGTGGAAGGGGGAAATACGAATGTTGTCGGATGTCTAATACATTAAAGATACATTTCGTGGTGACATACACACACCATAGACGATCTAATGTTAAAGATCAGAATAAGAGGGAGGGAGAGGAAAGGAAAGAAGAGGTGGGGGAGAGATTTGTGTGTGTGTGTGTGTGTGTGCGTGCGTGTATACGTTTCATTACAAACAAATGACAGGGTGCTGCGATTGAGTTTTTTATTTAAATTTAATTTTTCATGTGTCCTTTTAACTTTGCTTTTTTCTGGTCGTAAGTTATGTAGAAATTTCCAAATGTTTTGTATGTCCAAGCGCTTTCGGTTGTACTTTTGGCCATTATCAAGGATGGACTTTATTTTTACATTTAACTGAATGTACGGGTTGTGTTATGTATGTATCTAGAGTTATAGGAATGTTCTATTTTCCAAACACGGTCAGCACATTGTGGCCGTGTTCATAGTAGATATTACTGAGTGTTAGTTTTTTTTTTCTTATTACTAATGCTTACTTTATTTTTAGCCTTTTTGTACATATGGATGAGCCTATTATATTTGTATTATCAACGAGTATATTACGGATAGAGTTTGGTAGGTATATAGGTGTATTTAAATGAGACCTAATTGAGCTACGGTCAAAGAGATGTAATGTGAGTCTTCTTGTTAGGCACGTTGTAGTATATTCAATGTAATTATTTACGAATTTCGATTGATCAGGAACACAGTTCCTTAAGGGACATGTAAATTCGTAAATAATACTGGTACTTTCTGATGTCTATCTTACTGGTGAATTATTATTTTTGATGATGAGGTTAGCAGTGTTTTAAAAAAAATTTGTAGTAGATAATTAATTTTCTTGTTTTTGTCGGTTGGATTTTTTTAGATTTATATATATATATATATATATATATATATATATATATATATATATATATAAAGGCTTAAACACTAATATTCCATGGTCATAATTTATTCCATTGGAATCGTAAATACGATCGAATTCATCAGGCCTATAAATTCAAAAAGAAAACAGAAAAAAACATACATATACAATCAGGCCCTAAAAATAGTGGTTTTAGACAAGAATTAAACTTACATGTTTTTTCTGTTTTCTTTTTGAATTTCTAGGTCTGATGAATTGGATCGCATTTACGATTCCAATGGAATAAATTATGACCATGGAATATTAATGTTTAAGCCTTTTTATTATATCCTTACTCTGTCCTAGACATTGAGTTCTACCTGGATTCTATCCTCTTGGAATTTTTTATTAAAAAAATATACATGTATGTGTATGCACCTATGTATATATATTTATATATTTTGCATATGTATGTGTATATTTACCACTAATATTAGCTATATATATATATATATATATATATATACATATATATATATATATATATATATTTCGCTTGAAGATGGAACAGAGCTCACTTTAACTCAATTTAATTCAAATAATTATATTGAAGTTTTCAGCTCTTGTTTTGAAACATGAGACCTCTTATGTCGCGAGTTGGAATCATATTTTTAAATAAATAATTATATTTATGCTCTATTTTTGTATCGAGCACTGTTTAAAAAATAACTAAAATACTAAGGAACTTTGCATTACTTACCTAACCAGTTCCTTCCTATTTTCTATATATTTTCACATATTATATATATATATATATATATATATATATATATATATATATATATATATATATATATATATATAATTTATTTTAGTCCCCTTGCGTAAATAAATGCACACCTCCACTATCATTAAAGTACAGGCTCGTGAAAGCTTATTAACCCATTACCTGCCATGAGCCCCATTTGGGGATCTGTTAAAATTAAACTCACTACATGTTATTCCTTGTATTTACATTGAATTGCTTACATACATTGCATTTGCAGAGGTCTATTTTACAACACTTAGCCTTTAAAGTTTTTATTATTAGCCGTAAGAAGACACTTTCTGTCGTAATTTTACATTTCACGAGTAGAAAAATAATGACTATTTTGAAAAGTATTTTTTTGTTATTTCTAATCAATATTATTTTTTGATGTTTGATGCACATATATATTTGATATTCTAGTTTCTATAAAAATGACAATGGTAACTACTGAAATTGAACATAAGGAATAAATAAACTCCTAACCCACCTGTCTGGGCAAAAAATGCGCATTAAATTGGCAGTTAATGGGTTAAAGGAAAATACGTACGTATTTTCCTTATTAAGATCTCGAATTCTCAAACCGGTAGATGAAAATAATTAAATATACTGTTTAATAAGTAAACCGAGCCCTACTTAAATATGGGTATCGAGTAAAAATAAATAAAAATATATTACTTCTTTATATATATATATATATATATATATATATATATATATATATATATATGTGTGTGTGTGTGTGTGTGTGTGTGTGTTTGTTTGTGTGTGTGTTTGTTCGATATTACATATTCGATATATATATATATATATATATATATATATATATATATATATATATTATAAATTAATTGATTTAAAATATGTTTTTTTTGCTACACATTTCTAACCATGTTTCAAAAATGGAAGCTAAAAGCTTCGAATTTAATTTCGTAATTAAATTAAAGGCATTTCATCCTCAAGCGAATTTTGGAGTAACTTATTTTTAAATTTACTGGGTTTTAAAGGCACGGCAAAACTATCTATAAGAACACCGGATTATCTATCTTACTGTTCTCTTCTCTCTCTCTCTCTCTCTCTCTCTCTCTCTCTATATATATATATATATATATATATATATATACTTGATTCTATACTTTATTAGTGTAAATGTAATTCAGGTAATTTCTGTATGATTTTATACATATATGTTTGTGAATAGAATGCAGTATATATTTATTTGGCCTAATGTTTCTATCTACGTTTATGTAATTTATTTGTATCTATCCAGGTAATATGCTGATAGTAGAATCCATATATGTATTTAGCTATTTTGTCGCCCTCTTGTCAGTATTTGTTGCTATTGTGAGCTTATATCGGAAAGATAGACTGCAATAATTTCTGAAGCGTATAAGTTGATAGGGCAGAGGCTGAGGAAGAGGTGAGAACCTGGGCGTTGGTGGACGGTGAGTGTTGAGCGGCCGTCGTGGAAGTTGCTTTGTGTTCTATCAGCGTTTTCGTGCAAGGTCCGATTCGCAGTGAAGCGTGGCTGATAAAGTCTGCGCTCAGCAGATATTCATATGGGGAAGGCATAGCCGGGAATCATGGGGTAGGTCCGAATGATGGAAAATCTGTAAAAGGAAAACAAAATGAAGTCGCTGCCCTCCATCGAGAAGTAGTTTTGATGTAGTGTTGGTTTTGGTCACTAATTTGATAGCA